CCCCCCCATTCAGCCACTGGAGTCATCACATGGGAGCAGTGAGGCAGTTCTCAGCTCTGCATAAGCTCGAGTTAGATTAAGCTAGATTAAACTTTAATTTTCTGGCTCCTTGCAGCACAGTGGAGTGGAGTGGAGCACATGTTTGCTTTAGGAATAAAGTATTAAGTATATAATACTAGTGATATTGCCTGTATGGACAACCACATATTTGAATTTGGTTTTACATACACTTTAATAACACCCAGGTACAGAAATATTATTTTAGACTGTACGCTACAATAATTTTCCTGAACCCCGTACAAATATCAGCTCAGACATTGGCATCTCAAAATATAAAATGACAATTTCCACCTTAAATTATCTGTAAACTCTAACGATATACTTCTTTTATTTGCTACCCTTAGGTCTGTGATATATATAATTGTTATAGCTGTTCAATAATGCGAAAAAATACCCATTGATCCCTCCAGAAAACCACAGAGCTCACAAATTCAAGTGCACCCTACAGTGTAATTGGCCCTCTGTAAACTATGGAACACTTCTCCCCTATGCTATGGAGATGGGAGAGGAAAAGCTGTTCTGTAATTCTAGCAGACTTCCTGTCCTAGGGTGGCAATGCTGCTCTTCTATGGATACAGCACAATGAGTAAACGTTGTCACCCTAGGCAGAAAACATGTTATTTGCAGGATCACCAGCTACAAATGAAAAAGTCTAAAAAAAATGAAAACGAATGCAGTCACCACATCAAAGGACTTATAAGCTGCAATATATTGCATGTTTGTTCTTGGGTTTAGATACAACTTAAACGGTACATTTTGGCATAAATCTGCAGTTATATTAAAGTTTTTATGCTGTATATGTCACATTAAGTAGTGTGTGAGTCATAAACATCCTGCTGAGTATATTAGTCATCAAAAAAGAAATAATTTCAGTATGAATTCCCTTCACATTCAAAGCACAAAGCAGCACTGGTGTAAAATATTCTAAAAGGAAAATCAGAGGAATATTATACATCCCAACTCATTTTGAAATAAGATTTTGTGTTCCCAAAAAATCCTTTTGTACGACCTTTTCAAGGGAAAATAACAATCATCATTTTGATGCTCATTTTACATTATTATGAAACAATGTATTAAAAAAAAAAACACTTTGCCTTACCCTTTGACAAATGGGTCTGAAGTCCCCCCAGACTTCACTGCAGTTAGATTTTTGGCTTCTTTTATTAGTACTTCTAGTATTCCTCCGGTTGGCATTGGGATTTTCTTTGACTTCCTAAAACTTTTCTTTCCTGCACAATTAAAAAAAAATATGATTTCAATAAACCATTTTACCGTTACAGCAGCTGTAACTTGTGGGCCAGATAGGCTGAGCTATAAACTACTGAATATTACTTTGCTCGCTAGAGAAATGACATACCCATTGACACTGGTTCCAATGGAAGAGTCAGGTTTTTCTCAGGAGGAATGTAGCGTAACCCGACTGTTATTTCTCCTTTATACTGCAGGGTCACATCAGATGCCATATCCATCTAAGAAGCAAGAAAAACAATGTTTCCACTATTTTAAACAATATATTTAATTTCTATAATGTACATTAAAATGGAACTAAACCCTCCAATCCTTTACAGTTGCCATGGTGATGCACATGTTATGACACCAGCCATTTGAGGGATTTAATGTTTAATTGAGAGATGAAATAAACACACATTAAATTGGTAGGTAAGGTCATGACCATCCCTATATTGACGCAGCCTGAGGCGGTTGAGCTCTTAGCAACCTATGACGCTTTGTGCAGCTTCCCGCCCAGCTCACTGACATCACTGGTTGCCAGGAGCTGAGCGGGATGCTCTATCTGACTTCAGGGTTGGATTTACTCTCTCTGCTGCCCCAAGGTCAGGTTCCTCAATACGCCCCCCTACCCGCCAACCCCCCCCATGGAAAATGGCTGCATACAATGTTGCGAGATCACTTGAACAAAACATGCGGCGGCTTCCCTGCTGTACATTTAGCTCTGCTTGCCCAAAGCAGGAATAAATGTAGAAAACAACTACTTGCCCGGGCATTGGGAGTTAGGAATTTCACACCCCTGCTGCCCCTCTACACCCTGCTGCCCAAGGTCGGGCTTTGGTTGGCCTTGTGGGAAATCCGGCCCTGTCTCACGTTCAGTGACATGAGTAAGGTGGGCAGGACGCCGGACAGAGCCACTGACAGCTTGGTCTGGCACCCCCCCAAATTACATATCAGGGAGAACACAACGAGAGCCTCAGGCGGTGAATAGTGTAGGGACAGCCCTGGATAAGTTACTCTTTAAGAAATTTGTTCTAGATGGATATTGATATTGAATAATTGTTTTGCTTGTTATACAGGCAAATATATGATTCTCTTTTACAAATAAAATGTCAAAAGAAAACTGTGCTCAGAGAAATATGCCACTGCCATAGTTGGGGATGAGGAACCAACCAACACAAGGGATTGGGTCCCCTTGCTTGTGCTAAATCCTAGCAGGTAATGAGTAATCCATTCTGCTGAGATTGCGGTCACATTTATGCTTGTTGGGACATTCATGGACCTACCCAAAATCCTTAGCAACCATGTGGGAATCCCTCTTGAAGCACCCATTAATGTTGATCAGCATGTAGGCTGGTGTCAACATAGCAGGGCTGCAAATTCCCAGGTGCCTTGCTATAGAGTACCAGCTAGTATTGTTAGTTCTGTAGAGGGTGGGGGCTGTTTTTTTTATATAAAAAAATAACCATGGAAGTACTTTACCTGCATTAAAAATCTCTACCCTTCCATAGTATCCACAATTTTTGCCTGTGTGCAAATGGTGATGATGTAAAAGCACAGAGACTATAAGACACATTTATAAAGCAGTTAAACACGACACAACCAAACAGCTGCACCAGGAAGATTCACCTGTAGTAAATATTTGGTGAATGTCACATTTCCCGATTTATAATTATTCCCCTAAATCATTTGTCAGTCAATTTATGTAAAAATTAGACGCACCTTGGCTTGCAGTGTAAAGGACTCATCTTCTTGATTTTCAAAGTTCCGTGTGTCCAGAGGAATATTTACTTCTCCTAAAAAGCTGTTACGCCCAAACCGATCATTATGGCACACAGATAACTGCAGAGTTCTGGTTTCCAGTTGGGTATGACTAATTACATACTGTAAAAAATACAGAAAGATGCAAAAAAAGTATAGAGTGTAAGGTTAATAAAAGAGTACAGTGTAATGATTTTCACAATTCTATGGCAGAAGGGATACAAGAATTGTGGTGTAACACAATCTTATTTAAATACTGTGAAAGAATTGGATGTCCGCAAGTCTTCTTCTCAGCAAAATCTTTTAAACTGCAATTGAAGACAAAACATATTTTTTAGCTTCGGATAGAGTGGAGAGGGATTAAAACACCTCAGGTTTTTATTGCTGTTTCCCTGTTACAGAGATGGACTCTCTTTATTTGTCCTGTTGACCGTTATCACTGAAAGTGAAAGAAAACCAAAAGTGTTGGGTGGTCATCAGTACAGGAATAGATGGGACATTTTCCAATGGGGTCACTAGTTCTGGTGACCCTGCTGAGCACAGGGGATTTCCTTCATTTTGGAGGGATTTCCTCTCAGTTCCTGCTGTGGACAGGAAATGAAGGGAAATCTCCCCAATGGGGCACAGATGGCAAAAAAAAGTTGACAAGGGTTACAGGGATGCACTGAAATTTCGGCCACCGAAGCATATCAGCCAAAAATGATACTTTGGGCAAAATGCTGAAATGGATGCATTTTTTGGCCGAAAATGCAGATCATCCATGGTTTCTCTCCTCTCCACTGGGCGCTGCTCTGTGACCCCTCTAACACAGAGCAGCGCCCAGCAGGGAGGAGATAAACTGTCAGGAAGCCGAGTGGGTTGGAGAGGAGAGTGCTGTCAGCACTGCTCGGCAGTTGTCACATGAGGCTGAGCTCTCCTACCACACTGCCCCACTCGGCCTCCTCTGACAGGCAGACCAGGATGGAGAGTGGTGCGGGGAGGAGACAGCTGTCACAGGAGGCCGAGCTGGCTGTGCAGGGGAGGAATCAGCTGTCAGCTGTGTCACAGGAAGCTGAGCTCTCCTCCCTGCACCACCCACCAGCCTCCTGTGATAGCAAGTCAGGATGGAGAGTGGAGTACAAGCGCTCAGCGATCAGGACTGATCGCTGAGTGCTTGTAAGTAATTGAGGACATAGTATGTTTACTGTGTCCCCAATTAAGAATAAACAGGAAGTGCTCACTTGCTGTTCATTCATTATTGTGGACATAGTAACCCGTACTATATCCACAGTTTATGAATGGACATAAGAACTCAGTATAGAGGCTTCTTGTTCAATCATAACAGTGGCTGCAGAATAAGAGATTTAGGACTCTGTGTCCTCAATCTCTTTTTCTATTTCAAAAGGGAAACATCAGGGGTCTGTTTAGACCCCTGATATTTCCGGAGAGCACCCGACAGTAAAAAAGAAAAAATATTAAAATAACTTAGTTAATGTTTTTTTTGGTTTTGGCCTGACACATTTTTTATTTTCGGTTTCGGTCTGAAAATTCCATTTCAGTGCACCTCTAGTTATAACCCTCCCTACTTTAATAAAGGGGTACTATGGAGATTGCTGAGATAGCTAGACTGATAGGGCAGGGCAAATGTGAAAACACATTCAGTGAGGTTCATAAAGAGTGCTGCAGACACTTTTAAGAGCTCCATTGCACAGCTGTATGACACATGTCTTTGTGTGCAACAAGTTCATGTGCTATTCTGACGAGACTGTCACAATTGTGGCCATTTTACACGGTGCAACATAGTTACATCATAATGGAATTAGTCTCGTTTACCCCCACTTTTGTTGATTCCCTGTTGGCGACATTTATTTAGAATTTTTCAAAGGTATAGCACCTCAATCCTGAAGTGTCATAAATGAGAACTAAGTCGCATGTGTTGTAACTATCTATTAAACGGTTACAAATGCTGCATGAATTTGGCACATCACTTGCACCTGCAACCATACCCCGAGAAAAGTATTGCAACTATTTTATTGAATTACATCCTTTATGGCTTGTAAATGAAAAAGGGTCTTAGCAAGCTGAAGGTGGCTTCATTATTTCAGCATGGAAGTCCAGTACAAATGCTGTCAATCTGTTAAACTCCAACAAAGGATCCTTTCACCAGACAGAACTGCGTCAGAAGAATTAAATATTCTCATAGCCTTAAGGTGGTCATAGACAGGCAGATATCACACTGAAAATGATGGGTTGTTAGAAATCAAAAGCACCACTTGCTGTGAAAAAAGAAAATGCCGATTTGGTAAAACTCATCCACACCTGGCAACTATTTCTCAGCTTTGGTTACCAGAAGATAGACTTGGGCTGATCATTCTCATGGGAAAGATCTATTGCATTCCTTGAAAATAAATTGATGCTGGATGTGTATGAATGCCCCTCCCCCCACCTATTAGCCTTTTCACTCCCCTCCTAAAAATGCAAGTTTATTGCCAAGACTGCTGGAAACACCTCCCGTAACCTCTTCATTTGAGGTCTTTGGCAACATTTAGCTTTTGTACTTTTTCACAACTGATTTACAGCAGTGCTGTCAGGAAGCTTCTGTTAAATTTGTGCATGTAAACTTCAATATTCATTATCTGTAGTTAAGCTATATTAACTTGGATGAGTTCTAAAATCAATGTTGGCTGTTACAGTTTAATGATTCAGCTCCTCCGAGAGACATTTGCTGTTTGTGTTTCCAAACTTCAATGAAGATGAACTGTCATAAAACGCAATCTCCTTCCATAACAAAACCGTAAATATCAATGCTGGTATATATTTGCACCTGCAGATTTGAATGCTTTATAAAATGCATGAACGTAAATTGAAACTCTAGGTTCATTTGAGATAATTATGTAGATGTTCTGTCTAGATTAATAATAAACACACACAACATTATATAAAAGATGTTCACGCAGAACGCAATATTAACACCACATTTTCTTCAGTTATTAATAAATAATACATTAAAATTTCACAGGCTGGAATAAACCACAAGCCACATTTCAGGCAGATCTACAAGGGTCAAGAGAAGGGGTTATACACTGGTTGCCTACACTAGCAGTTGTGGTCATGATATGACTGCATCAGCTATTTTGAACATGGTTGGACTTGTGCTGGAGTCTAACAAGCTGTTTTTGTCCATAGAACCCAAGAGACTGAACCCAGGAGGTAAATCATTTCTTATATGCTGAAACCACCATGTTAGGCACTGATAATCATTCCACAGTCAAAGCAATTCAGATTTGGCATATGTAATATTCTCACCAGCAACAGTATGCCTAAGTGTATAGGAAAGTGAAGGGAATGTGAAGGGTATGACAGCCCGTTATAAGTGCAGAAGGGGAATGCGGAGGCTATGACAGTGAGCAGTATGTGCAGTGTGGAAGGTATGATGACAGAGAAAATTTAGCCCTCATTCACACAGGAATCGTCCCGCACGTACAGCTCCGTGCACAGCCGTACCGAGCAGCTCCTGGGAAGGACAGGTGCTGCGTGTGATTAGTACGCAACCCTTGTCCTTCTCTATGGGACTACGTGGCCGTACGCCTCCCGCGCTCATCCGCCCTGCACATCCGTGCGGGTGCCGGTGATCATACTGGTACGCTGACAGGATGGATCCTGTCTGCGTCCAAGCCCGGAAACACGCAACCCTACGGACCTGCACATGAGGTTGAGCGTAGGGGGGCCTACGGCCGTGCAGTCCCATAGGGAAGGACGGGGGCTGCGTACTAATCACACACAGCACCTGTCCTTCCCGGAAGCTGCTCGGTACGGCTGTGCACGCAGCATGGAATGAGGGCTCAGAGTGGATAGGGCACGAGAGGGAGCAGATGTGCAGGACAGGACTATGAAGGGTATGACAGCGGGGAGAAAGTACAAGAGAGGAGTAAGAAGGGTATGACAGTAGGCAGTATGTGCAGGAGAGAAATGAGGAGATTATGAAAAGAGGCAGCATATGCAGGATAGAAGTGTGAAGGGTAAGAAAGCAGGTAATATATGCAGGGAGTGTGCATTGTATGACAGCAGGCAATATGTGCAGGAAAGGAGTACTGAGGGTTTCACAGAGGGCAGTATGTACAAGAGAGGAGTTTGGAGGGTATGACATCGAGTAGTATGTGTAAGATAGGAGTGTGTAGGGTATTGCAGTGGTCAGTAGTAGGTACAGAAAAGTTGTGTCCCATCGTTCTGCTTCATGTTCCTCTTCAGAATTGGCCCTATGTGTCCCCTCTTTGTGGCACCTGCCAGTCAGTTTTGGGCACTGATTACTTTAGTTTCATTCCTCTGCACTTTCTTCAAGTCCAGACAGACTCAGAGAGGCAGACTCAGAGAGTCACCAGAGTGCCTAGTGTTCCAGGTGTAATGCAGCTTTCCTGCCTCCTCTTTCCTGGGCACCATCAGCCCTTTGTGTGATAGGTAAAAAATCAATTTAAAAAAACCAGAATAAAATAAAATAAATTAAAACCCCAACATTTTAAAACTGTCCCTGCGTACACGTACATACAAAGGTAAATGCATGCTTCAGGTGCTCCTACATATAAAAAATTAAGCTTGTGCCACACATGCATCTGAAATTAACAGCTAATATGCTTTGCCAGTACTTGTCAGCTAAAATAGGGTGAGGTTGGGGACAACACAACACGGTTTACCCGGGGGGCAGGAAGTATAGCTGAAGACCTGATTATAAAATCTACATCTTTATAGTAAAGACATTTTTAAAAATCACTACACTTATGTTAATAATCTAAATGTTCTGCTTCATTCTAAAATTGAATATTTTCCATATATATTGAAAAGTATGAAAATATATCACTGCTTCTTATCTCTGCCCATTGTGTGCACATTTCAGAGAAAAAAAAAAGATTTATTTTCTACACAACACTAAGTAACCAGCACTGATCTCTGCTTAAGCATCGCAGCATGTGCTTCACTTTTCAGCAACTACTTGAATTTGCCTGATAGTTGCTAGGTTACATCAAAAAGACCAGAGATGGTGTGTGTACTGATGAAGCTGTACAGTGTTATATAGAAATATTAAAAAGCTGTCCTAATGATTTTCAAAATCTGGAAAAGGAAATGGAAACTGTGGCTGGGCTTTGAATAGAAAATGTAAATCTATGGCACTTTGTTCTATATTGTCTCATTTAATGGTCCAGGCTGAGGGAGCAATCAGAACCATTACTTGTGAGTGACAGAGATAATTATGAAAAGAGACTTTGCCAAAGTCATGTAAAAGCACTTCTGCCTCTTAACACTACTGTCGGAGAACTGTTTGCTATTGTGGTGACAGTCCAGTAAAATGAGCAGACAAAGACTCTGCATGGCGCTACTCTTCAAAGTGTTTTGCCTTATTTTACTGTATTATCCTGCTGGTGTTTCTATTGTGTTTTAGATGTGTTTCTTATTCCTTGAGGATTTTTTAAAGTGTCAAAATAATGGGCAGGTGATACGTTTCCCTCTACCTATTTGGACAGCATGTGTGTTATACCCATACAGTCACATCTGACTCTTGGAAATTCTATGGGCCAGCTCTCTAGAAATCACGTGTGAAACACTTAAAAGCTTTTTTCCACAGAATATTCTTGGCAAATTTTCTACAAAATCTCCAGGTCTTTTCTCAACCCCCCACCCCCATTTACATGGGCTTGGGACTAGCAATGTAATAGCACATGGCAATACGTACATTCTAGGACAAATTTAGATAGGAGCCAATCAACCTACCCGCATGTCTTTGGAATGTGGAAGAAAACTAAATTACCTGAAGCAAACCCATGTAAACACAGGAAGAACTTGTAAACTCCAGGCTGAAATTCAGACAGAGGGCTGCAGTGCTGCTAGGTATTATGTTAACTACTAAACCAACATGTTCAGTTGGGCAGAAGTGTTTTAAAAATTTAATAAAGTGATTATTACAATACTAAAACATGACACAGCAAAAAATATAGCGATCTTACAATAAGCTTGTCACCCAACCTGGGCTTTTCAGACTGAGCATATCATGAAAAAAATGTTTAAATGATCAACAGAGGAAGACATACAAACTGCTTAAGATATACAGTATGTTAATGTTGACTCTTCCTGTAAAAATTAATCTTGGTTCCACTATCTCCCAAAGCTGATCCTTTACTGTGATCAATAGGGAAGCATAGGTGCGTGGAGAAGGCAGAACTGGGCTTTGACACAGACAGAAAAGTCAAGATTTACTAATATATTCTGCTGTCTATGAAAGGTTCTCACTGAAGGTAAACTATGCTTATGGATTTTTAATTTTGTCACATAGTTCAGGCTTGTGATAGCTTTATTTTAAGAATACCTAAACGAAAAGGCTCCAACCCTGCACAGATTGATATAGCAGTAGGTGCTAGTATAGGTGAAAATTGCAAAAATGCCATTAGCAGATGCTGGAAAATGTGGTGGACAGAGGCTCTTTCAATTACCATTTAAGACAGCATTTAGGGCTTCCCATTTCTGGCTTCGGGCTGCCACATCAAATAAGACACCTAATATTTATGGCCGCCTTTACAAAAATGTGTGTGAATATAGCCATATGTGTAGTGTTTATAGTAGGGATGCATCAATACCAAGTACCGTACTCAGTACAAGTACAGATACTTTTCGAGCTCCAAAACTAGACTAGGGAAAAATTCTAAAGTTAGGAGGCAGCTGTCATTTGTAAGGAGCACACGGAGCTCCTGGGATTTGTACATCTCTGTTTTAATGTATGATTTTGTTTTTATAAATATAAATAAAGGGATGCACCGATACCATTTTTGTACTGATACTGGCCCGAGTACTCACAGGTACAAGTACTGATACATTTTTGTTTGTTGTCATGTGACAGTTTTTCTAAAACAATATCAACTTATGATTTCAGGACAGTGGTGGAGCGGCAGAGCCAGGTCCCAGTATCGGCACTGGTATCTGGACTGGTTTCGGTGCATCTCTAGTTTATAGTGTATAATACAGTATATAATGTTAGAAAAGTAAAACTGTTACTGGTATTCCTGTTCACTTAATTGCATTTTAAACCTACCCTGCTGCTCCTGAATTGAAGCAGGATGATATGTACTGGCTTGCTGTAGCTGTATGTTTCAACACAAAATCTAGCATTAGCAACCACAGAATCTTTCCCCAGCATTCAATGTCTAATCTACTAGACATCACAGGTAGATGTGCTGGCCAGGAGCACCCAGAAAAGAGCACAGTGCATACAGTCATTCTCCCGTTTAGAGCAGACTTTCCAGTACACCTTTAAACATAAGCTAAGGAATGTAATGAGATTAGAAAGCTATAGGCATATAGGAAATATAAACTTCTTCTTACCTTTAGAACTTCATTGAACTCTGGATTAGTTGTATTAGTCTTAATTTTTGTCTTCCTCTTACTTTGCCGTGACTTGTCAGGAAGCAGATATGATTTAACATACCTGGAAAAGTGAACATGTGATAAACATAAATCTAGACAGAAAGCTCAATTGCACAAGTAAAACTCAACATCAACTACAGCTGTGAACTTGGATTCAGTGATCATGCAAAACTTTTATTACTGTTGGTGGACACATTTCCACCAACTTGTAAAAATGTGGGACAATCTAAAGATATATTCAATTGATGGCAAATATGGTTTTAAGTGATAACCTTTCACTGCATTACACCACTGTGACTCATTAACACCTCACTAAAATACAGACATCTAAACCTATTTGTACATCTTTAGGATAGACTCATTTCATGATCCCATGCATCTTCAATACATAGAAGAGAATATTCTGCCTCTCTGGGTAGACCAACCCATTAGCTCTTCTATTTTACTCAGCAGAATATTTGTAAAGTATTTCACTGTATTTATAAAGCATATTCAACATCAGATTTGCAAGCTTATGCAGCTTTCACTAACACTTGCTAACATCTGTTTGTTTTTGAATGGACGCTTAAGTTAAATGCACTGTACCTGGCCCAGACATGTTCTGTGGCAGATGAATAACTATTACATCTCTCATGGTTACTTCCTGGGTTTCCCCAGGAACGATGGAATATCAACCATGGGATATAGCACACCAGGCCTTCAAGGATGATCACCATGGTAAGAATGCAGAAAGTGCATGGACCCCTGTCATGCAACTAGATGCACATACTCACCCCAACTCCCAAACTGCTCTGTTTGACCGATGGGAGCACTTTTGAGTATGAAGGAGCAGGTGACTCACTTGTCCCTCTATTGCCGTGTGCTGAAGCTTGGCATTTGTGACGTCCAAAATGGTCCTACACCAGAGGTCTCCTCTTCATCAACTCCCCTTTCCAATCAAGTAGGCCAGTCAGTAAGGAGCAGAATGCTCTTAAGCGCACAGGGATCAGGAATGGGGTCTGTCTAGGGCTCTCTATGTTATAGTTCTGTAGTTCTATAGTTATACCTCTGCTGCTCCTAAAAACACAAGTTTAGCAATATGAAGAGTAATGGCAGCATATTCTCCATCCTCATATTTGGATCCTTTAAACAATCGCCCTGGGCTTAACATTTGATGACAGCACATGCCCTGCAAAATGCAGGCTCGTCCTGGTCAGTGAATATTTTAAACATTTGGCTGCACTATAATATATGGAAGTAAAACATCTTTTTGCTTACGGGTCTGTTCTATTCTTCTTCTCGTCAGCAGTTGCTAGATTTTTACAGCTCTTCACCAGAACATTCAAAGCGCCAGTTTTATAGCTGTAACTAAGATTGAGTATAAGCTCTCCAGAGACTTTCGCGCTATCATAGTCCCAACCTTCACTGTAGACACTTGTCATGCTATTAAGACTTGTCTGAAAAAGAAAAGACAGAAACAATTCAGTGAAGTGATCTGCTACATGAAGAGACCGGACATGGTGTTTCCTAGAATATCATGGAAAGACTTAAGCTATACATATACAAGACATATTTCAGAGGTTGTTATCTATTGTTACAATAATCTCGGCAAATAAATCACTCTTTCACCTGATTCACACTATCAGGTCGTTAGAGTTAGAAAAAGTTAGTATAAAATAACTGAAGTTGCTAAATAACTACATTCATAAACAAAATCACTGAATATTTTTATCATTATTTGTAGAACAAGTTCTTACCCAAAAAAATCAAAATCACAAATATTCTGCATGACAGAACAGATCCCATTCTCACTTCTGAAGCTGCTGGAGTTACTTTTATCACACACTGATAGACTCTACTGCCAGAAATGGCAAGTTCCCCTTTTCCAACTGTCAGTGCCAGTGTTTACCAGCAGAAGCAAACTGTATGGGTCATCCGCAGAATCGATTTTAAGGGAACCATTGAGGATAGCAATATGGTGGCTGACAAAGCTGATCTGACTTAAGGTGTATCTAAGCCCCAAAATAAAAGTTCTATATATTGAAGTTTACCAAACCCTAAATGTGGTGGCTGCATTAGATCGTGTTAGGCTTTTTTTCCTTTATGTTCACCTGGTGATCTGGCCAGTAACACACTTCCTGTCTTAAGGTGGCCATACACTTTACAACCATCGCAAGACCTTAGTCTTGCGATGGTTGTAAAGTACTTAAAAAAACGTACGATCTGCCCATCTTGGACAGGCAGATAGTACTCTTGATCATCGCAAGCCCGCCCCCCTGAGGGGCGAGCTTACGATGACTGTAATGAGGGGCGGGCTTACGTTGACTGCAAACGGGCAGTGTGCGCGTGCGCACAACGGCCCTTCGGCAGTTGTCGAGCCAGCAGGCCACTAACTCGCCAAGAATCGTACGATTCCCGGCGGGTTTTCTAGCATGCTGGTTCGACGGAAGACGTGCGACCGTACAGTAGAAACGGTCGCACGCCTTCCATACACTGCACGATTCTTGTACGATTGCGGGATTTCCCGCGATTCTCGTACGAGAATCGTGCAGTGTATGGGCACCTTTAGAGGCTCCACTCTATAAAGGGGCAATGGAGCCACCCTTGGACTGTATTGTCAACCTGTGGAGAGGGTAGTTTTAGATAAACTAGCAGATTAGATGGACTTGAATAACAAATGAAACCTGAACTATCCCTTATGGGATAAAGGTTTTACATAAATGAATAAAAGATCACTATTGTATCCCACCTCAACCTAACCACTGAACCATCACATTCTCAAACAATTCATCCCCACACAGCTACCTCCTCATGTATCACTTTTACCTCCCTTTTAGATCGTAAGCCCTCTGGGGCAGGGCCCTCCTTACCATCCTGTCTTGAATTTGTATTGTGATAGTAATGTCTTCCTTATATTGTAAAGCGCTGCGCAAACTGTTTGCGCTATATAATAATAATAATTGTAAGCACTCCTGTCCATGTTGAATGTTTAGTCTCAACCCTCTATCTTCCACTTTTGGTTGACAGATTGGCCTGTTTAAGGAAGTTGAAAAATAACAGATTTACTGGCTGGATCACCGGCTGAAAGTGAAGGAAAAAAAGAAAATAATTTGGCCACTACATTTTAGGATTGGTAAACTGAAATATATTATACTTTTGCTTTTGGTGTTAGGTACACTTTAAAAGCTGCTGATTCACTGCCTTGTAATTAAAGTAGTATTAAAGGCTGGGTGTTTTATGCCATATTGCATTCTCTGCATCAAGGCAAAAAACACCCGGCACTTTTTTTAACAGCCCTGTCCCCCCACACTTACTTGCAGCCACTTGTCTCCTCCGCCACAACCGGGAAGATACACAGGATTCCCCAAACTTCCTGATCCTGGGGGAGTGTGCTGAGGGCAGAGGAGCCATAGGCTCCTTCGACTGCAAGGGTGGGGGCATGGCCGGCCGCACGCTGTGTGTGTTTCTATGGGCGCACACAGCTAGATGCCGGCATGGCTGTGACCATGCACGTACGGGTGCCTCAACAGCAGTCGGCTAGCTGATGGAGGCACCTGTACGGGGAGGGGCTTGCGGTCTAGATACCACTTGAGAACAGGGACATAAAAAAATAAAGGATACAAAAACAATAAAGGTTTAATGTCGTTTTAAGGGGAATTTATAAAAATTGCAGCAGAAAGAATCCGGAGCAGCTGTGTATGGCAACCAATCAGCTTATATCTTTCATTGTCAAAGCTTAAAGGTCTTTATCCTTATCTTTAAAATGACAACAAAGGCACCTTTAAAAATGTTTAGTAATGACAATATACAAACAGATATCTATAGATAATTGCCGGCTTTTTATTCTTTGCATACCTTTATTTTTCTTTCCCTCCCCATTCTTCTCACAGTGACCATTTTTAAGTGATAACCTTCCACTGCAATACACCACTGTGAATCATTAACGCCTCACTCAATTACAGACAGCTAAACCTATTTCTACATCTTTAGGATAGACTCATTTCATGATCCCATAAATCCATCTCCCTTTACTTCCTGGAACTCTGGCACACATGATTAGGACTCATCATCTCGGGGAAAAAAGGCCTTTCCCTGAGATCTCACAGAATTTTTGCAGCTTACAGGTGAGATTTTCCAGAAATGCACTGCTGATGTAACCTTCCCAGAATGTATCACTTATGCACAGGCTACATCTCCAATTCCTAAGAGTACCAGGAAGAGGAATAACTGTAATTGTAAGTAAAGGAAAACTATGTTTATTTAACTAATGAATGTAAGATGATTACATATCGGCATGCAGAGCCGCATGTTAATGTGATCTTTAGTGAAAGGGGGTAAAGGTTAACAAACTGAAGAGAGAAGCTGAATTATTAGAAGCTGTTATTATGGACAACTAATCCAGATTCTGTCTGCTGCAGTTTTGATAAACTCCCCCATTATGTTGTCCCAAAATCTTTTAAAATAGGTTAACTTAGCCAGCGTCCATATTTCTATTCTCACAAGTTCCATTTGCTCATTACAAAACCTTCACAGCTATACTGAGCAAAATGAAGACAAACATCCAAGAAAATTGGCCATCTGCTGAGTAATCCATTCCATTTGTGTTTTTATAACATCTGAGGCTATATGAGCCGTTGTCTATTCTTTTTCAAGTAGGCGCTTGAAATCCATCTATAGACTCCTAAGTGCCTGGCACTAGTTGGAAGGTAACAGCCTTTGAATTATTTGCTATTGATTTCTTTTAGAACGAGTTTACAGCAGGTGAAGATGCTAATGTACCAACAAAAAGGGATTTAAAGAGACTTAAGTGAGCAGTTAATCTAATCACAGTAGTGAGGAAGCACGCTATATGCGTTTTGTAAAATCTTTAGAAACAGAAAAAACAAACAGAATTTACATGAGTAATTATGAGTTGGGAATAAGTGGAGGGGCAACTGTTAAGTCTGCGTGCAGGAAGACATCTGCAATTGTTCTCTGACGCTACACAAAGTAATTAACCCTAAAATTGTACGCCCTTCCAGATTGAGGTAGGCAGAGAACAATAGCACGCAGCTATGTATTTAATAAAAATGAAATACATATTTATTTTAATGCAGCTAATGTGAAAACCTGACTTAGCAAAACTGTTCTTAACCCTTGTAGTTGGGCTATGCCTGCACTACAAGGGTTAAGTGCTCGCTTTTGTCTAAGTGCTAAAAAAAAAGTTATACTCGCCCCATTCTCCGAGCCAGCTTGCTCTTAGACCGGTCCCCCTCCGCTGCAGCGGTCTAAGGTCACATTGTGTAGGACGTGAGGACACACAATTTCTGCAGTGGAGGGGGAGAAAGCCTGGAGGGAGCGCTGTGACAGCCAGGTGAGTATAACAGTTTTATTTTAGCACCTAGACAAAAACAAGCAAATACAAATACAATTAAAACAGCTCTTGTATATGTATTTTAACACTCTGTATCTGAAAGCCATATTTAACGAGCACAGCAGATAACAAGTGTAATCAATTCATGCACAGGCCAAGAAATATTACAACTGTACCATTAGAGATGGCACTTATTTACCTTTGATCCAAGCTTTAATTAATCCACTACATTCAGATTCGGCAGACTTTATCACTGTGGTATTATGTGACACTGCAATCTTCTACACAATTATGTTGTGCTGTGCGAGGCTTCTCACTGAGAACCACGGGAAACACTGAGCTTTTTTGCAGGCTCAGATTTAGGCCATTAACCGCTTCTCATCCGGCCGTTGTATATAAACAGCCAGATGGGAGCTTCTTGAATGCGGGTGGGTGTTTCAAAACATCCTTGAGCCCCCGCGCACATGAGCGGGAAACTGTAACTATTTCAAAAAGCCGGCAATGGCTGTTTACATGCAAGCGGTCTGGCACCTGTAGAGCTGCCCGATGGCTTGTATGTGGTGCCGCTCAATGCGCGCCCATCCCTCTGCCACCGCCAGTCCGGAGCTCCGCTCTGCCCGTTGCTGGCCCGAAACCGGCACAGCGGCTCTGTGACCGGAGTTCAGTACATGATCCCCCACTGATCTCCTCCCCGTTCTCTGAGTGTAGGAGTGTTGTATATTACAACACTTCCGCATTCAGCTGTCATTTACAGCTACAGAAGCCGGGGAGAAGCTGGTGAAGCAGACCCCTGATGTCTCCATAAAGAGAACCTGTCACTGTATACTAGCTATCACATAGGTGGCTTCCTGGCAGTGATAGCAATAAAGTTGAGTGAAAAAGAAAGTTTTCAAAAAATTAGTTTAAAAAAATAATTACATTTGCATATAAAAAAAAAACTCCACAAAATGTTTTTAAAGTCCCCCGCCCCCACGTACACACACAAACATGTGTCGGGTGCGCCTATGTGCGAAAATGACGATTGTGCCCATTGCGCCACACATGTTACATATTACTGCGATTGTCAAAGCATGAGCAATAATTCTAGGGCCAATAATCACTGTT